TATAAGAGATTTGTATATATTTAGCTAGTATTACACCTATTCTAGAAAACTCGAAGTTGGTGTGTGTGCTGTGCAGGGATTATGTAGATTTCATGTTTATATTGTGCTAAAAGCATAATACACTCCCGCTTACTTGCGAGTGTCTATGCCGCGCCAAAACCATGATCTGTTAATAGAGGTAAGTCAAGAAAATCATGTTGTGATATAGTTGTTGGAGGTCAAGTCTATATACAGGTGAGAACAAAGAACAAAGTAAGTGAAACCTGGATCAAACGCCTAGGGCAAACACCTATACGGGCTATGAGGAGTATTGTGTCTGACACTGTCGTGGTGGAGTGGACAGTGCGCATGTGCGGAGAATTGAAGGATTGAACTGAGGTTGTATTGTGTGAAGCTACGAACAGTAGATATACATGTGTGGCTGTAAACAGTGCTAGTGCAGGATGGGGAGTCGCGAGTTGCTATAAGGCAAGAGACACTCAAACCGTAACACAATCTGACCACTCACAACCCAGTACAGCTTCTTTTGAGCAAATTCGGAGACAAGTTTCTTTTGCAGCAGAGTACCTTTCGTTCATTGCATGCATTGATCGTATTAACATTCCTTAGTCGCTGTTGCTGCTGGGAGGATCCATTGTGCAGCAGACGAAAGCACTTAGAACGCTAACAGGATACGCATTTATGACAGAACGCCAGCAGACTATGCTGGAATCTAGCAAAGAGAGGCTTTTTAGTATGCACCAACTAGTGCACATAGCGTTGATCTAGTGGCTAGAGGGCCATATAAGCGGGCGGACTAGGCAGGCACAGCAGCAGCCTAAGCCGAAGAACTAGTGCCGTACGGCGGGCATAAAGGAAAAGAAGTATAGGGCGCATACCTCCTATATGTGACAGACGTGGCTAGACTTATTAGCGTTGTAGATAGCTCAGTGAGTGCTTCACTCCTAGAAAGCCTAGGCCGGTGCTAGGAGAGTCTAGGGCAATATGCATTAGCAGAGACATCCCACCGAAAAGCATCGTCCTTAAGGAAGGAGGTGCTAGGGCTTGAGCATCCACACACGCTGACGAGCATGACTAACTTAGCGAGAGTGCTAGAAAGCCAAGGCAAGTACGAGGAGTCTTTGCGTCTGTATTGGAGGGCATCCACCGGATACGACACTGTCCTTAGAAACGACTATCTAACTACCCTAGCATGTCACTAACATTACGCTAACCTATGCGCGTCACAAGAGCAGCATAAACCTGCATGTTCTTCTAATACGCTATAGAGCGGTGCAGAAATATCTACGAGGAAAATATCAAGACAGTCACATGACTTGGCAAACATTAGCATTAGGAGCTTGAAGCACTAAAGAAGGTGAAAAGATTGGATGTGTTTTGACGGTGTTATATGTCAACTTCTCCCTCTCAATGTTGCTTGTGTACTCTCTACTTTAAGCTGTTAAGTTGTTAACCTTTCTTTCTATATAAGTAACAGCGATATCTTATCGGCTACTATTAGGTAATACACCATATCTTCCTTTAACGTTACTATAGAATCCAGGGCGCAGCTTAATAGCCCTTAATACTACACTTAGTGAGCATTCAACCTTTTATATAGCTAGTAGGAAGATAAGTAATATCATATATCTCCTATTATAACAGATTTAGCGTGTTCCACAAGGTTTCAGTCTATACTTCCCTTACCAGGTCTTACACTAAGGCCAGTAAGATTTACACTAGTGTCCTATAAGGTAATTATCTAGCGAGATATTAGAGTAGAATGCTTAATAAAAAGGTAACAAAAGGTTAATAATCCTAATCTATATTGCTATAGACTAATAGGTAATAATCTTATTGAATAAAGNATCCCCGTAGTCCCCCAACCCTTTGCTGTCACTAGGACTGCTAGGACACTAGGACTGCACAAGTATATAGCATTAGGCATTGAGCGAAAACCAACCAACAAGAAGCTTAACACCAGAAGTCTTATATTACTTCCACTCAAGCTATACTCTTAACAATCTCTAGAATCTAGGCTCTCTTATTAGGCTTCTAAATCATTAGTAGAGATTAATTATTATAAGTTAATAGGGGGGTTTTCTAGAAGAGGTTAATTAATATTAGGAACAGATTAGCCTATAGCATATCTTATAATTTACTCTTCTCTATTAGAACCTTATTTTAAGAGAGCAGCTACTACAGAATCAATACGCACTAAGCTTAACTTTTTGCAGTGGCGCTAGGCTGAGGCTGAAGGTCTGGACGAAAAAGCGTCCCGTCACACAGGGTGTCCCGCTACGCAGGGACGGACGTTACACACTTAAAGAATGATGCAAGAACAGGAATAACTATCTTCCTCCTCAGCGACCATTGGCTTGTTTTTCCCGAAGATGTTCCCTTTCCTTTTCCACTTTCTCTTTCGCATACGAACCAATCTCCAACCAGAGTGTAGCCGAGTCAGCATTTTCCAAGCTCTTTGCTTTGTCTACGGTTTCGCGTAGGAGCACTAGTCTTCTTTCAGATTTTGGCTGATCCAGGTGAATCAGCTTGTGTATTTTTTTTTTGCACAGTTCCCGCGATTTCCTTGTCAAGACCTAGTTGAAGAGAGCGCACATACTCGAGTTGGTTCACCGCGGATACGGTGCGAGAGCTGACCCCTGGAACCAAAAAAGTCTGGAGAGCGTTTTGTGTCGGTAACGCAGAGTGGCATTCGGCATCTTGAGCTTCAATGGCTTGCTTGGTGAGATCAACGATTTTTTACTGGCGTTCGAGGCCCCGCTCTGCCTCTTAAGTTACGACTACAGGGCTCGGAAGACGTGGAATAGCGCTCACTGCGACGACGGCGAGGCTTGGCAGCCAAAATCCAGAAATGATCGACAAGACAGCCAAGATGATACCGCCCCAGGACTGCACATAGCCAGACATATCGGCATTCTGAGCCTGAACAACTATATCAAGGTCTTTGGTATTCGAATGGCCTGCTTGATGTTTCTCGGTGATTTTCTCCGCTTGCTCAATGACTTTAGTAATGGATTGTGTATTTTGTCGGCTGACAACCATTGTACCTGAGGAGGATGTCATGAGTATGAGAGCAATCCAGCATAATAAATCAGATGCAAGAAGTCATACCTCCAAAATTTGTAGACAGTTGATAAATCATAGCCTCCCTTGTATCGCTGACTGAGCTGTAATATGTAGATTTGACGGCCCTCTCAGCAGCTCGCGAAAGCATTTCGGACACGTGCTGCCACACCGGATCGTCTGAATCTCGGAATTTGCAGATGGTTCGGTGACAGCGATTTGGATAAAACACGTCCTCTGAAGACGCACCAAGTCTAGCCGACTCTTTCGGGACGATCTTCTAGAGTTAGTAGTTACCTTACTTTTTAGCGGCTTGAGAGCTACCTACGATGCCAAAGTAATCCAATTCTTTTGTTTCGCAAACGGTAAAGACATTGTAGAAGTTGAGGAGTGGTTTAAAACTATCCCGCAATTGCTCCGCATAGTTCGAGTCCTCCGTTACACTATTCAGAAAAGAGGTGTTGGTCGAGTAGCCGCCGAGCTGGAAAATTTGTCTAACAATAGATGCCCATGACTTTCGTGGAACGCCCGATCCTTGGTGAGGGACTCCAAAGAGAAATAGCGCAAAGGTGAAAACGTAGATCGCGGCATGTTCCCCAGAAGGTGCATTGTATGCTGTGGCCAGCGCTTGCTTGACGATGATACCACCCAAGCTATGGGCGATGAAAATGATGGGTCGCGAACGGGCATTCTAAATAGCCAGAATACTTCGCATCAACACTTACAACTAAGTTTGACAATTTCATCAACGTACCTCTCTTTTGACCGAAATGAGTTGGAGTAAGTTCTCAGCCTGCTCTTGAACCCCAGCAGTTGACGAGTCAAACATAACGTTAGCGTTGTATTGATACGTCATTATGCGGGCCTGTGGGGCATTCGATGGGAGCGGATCTCGCAGCCAGTGTGTACCGGACCCCTCATGGGTCCAAGTCTTGTTCGAGTGACCACGATCATTTTTGACGTTCATGCCGTGGACAGCTATGATACTTTTGTATCGACCATGAATAAAAATCCGAATGAAGCCCCGAAGAGACCAGGTAGCACACTTACTCGAGCAGTGCGTTCTCAGGATTGGCAATCAAGTGAAGGTAGGCTTCATTTGGGTCGAGGCGCGCGGATACCGTATCCTTGATTGATATTGTTGGTTAGCGTCGCTAAATAGCTTCTAGTGTATGGAAAATAGCTCACCATGGTTTCGCTGTCTCTATACGGAGTGCTTGTTGCTGGATCTATGCTGATTCCGGGCTTGAATAACACAGAGCCAGCGGACTTGGCAGAACTCATCTGTGTGCGGGGAAGGACATCTTGACTTTAGGACCAGTACCATCAATTACAATTCTTTTACACTTTGGACAGAAGTGCAGAGAAATACGGGAATGTCTCCTCGTATTGCAGTGAATTGAGAAAAGAGGTTGGAGTGTTGTTATTCATCTGGATAGATACCTATTCAAACTCGACGCAACAACTCTTGCACCCACGTGTAGTGTGACACCAGCAATTCCCTTGGTTAGTAAGCAGGATGATAGAGGGTGCGACGTTGAATATAATACTACTTTGGCTTGGTTTCATTAGGAATAAGTCATTAGCGAGGTTGAAAGCTTTGATGACTATCACAGGTAATAAGCTCGTAAGCGAAATTCTAGGCAGCAATATTCCTTTCGCAACGCACATGCTGAGGACGCACCTAATGATTGGTTGTGGATGCTAGTTAGGGTGGCAAAATCGCTTTACCTTGCTTGCCACAGCTACAACAAGGCTGATAAGTGCTCTTGTACGTCAAAGTTCGATTCCGCATCTAGAATTCTATATAAATACACCTAGGCCTAAAACTTAGAGCTTCCATGTGCTAAATTATAATATTTTACACCGAACAACATTGAAAGAAACTAAAAATGGTCCCTATTTCTTTCAAACGTAGGGCCAGCAGTACGAGGGTAATTTTAATCTGAATTTAAGGACACGAAATTTGCCTCAATATGGTATGTATTGCTTCACAGTGAATATCATTACTTGGATCCAGATTCCACTTATGCATTTTTCAGTAACTCTTAGGCAGCTCCGAACAAAGTCGCAATACAACCAAGTCATCAATAATCATACACCGAATCCACCTGACCACCTCCATCGCCAGCCATCCACTCAGCCACCTTCAAATACCCCAAAATTCCATGTCCATTCATACCAAACGCATAGCCAAACTGCTTCACCGTCGCATCAGGCAAAACGTACCGATACCCCCTCCAAGACCGAAATGCCCCATGATGGGAATGAATGGTCCAATCGCAGTGATTCATGAAATCCCACGCACAAATCTTATGTTTTTGGTACAAGTCATTTAAAACGGTATAGTATCCCTGATCCCCCGCCGCAACAGCCGCAAAAGTGATATGCTGAACCAGCTCCCTGAGCACTTCGTCCCGAGCCCATGACTGCGGTGAGCCAGATTGGTCACCCCACGTATGCCTGATCCTCTCGAGGATATCCGTAAACGCCAGGCTATTTTTCCAATCGTTAATAGCCACCCAAGTTTTTGTTTTGGATCGCTTGCGGGGACATAGTAATACTTACATGCTAATCCCGCCCCCCATTGAAAACCCCGCGACAATGATCTGCTTGGGCGCCACACCGCGCGCAGACATATCTCCCACTGCCCTGTCGAGTGCATCAAACGCCGCCTGTCTCATCGCATGCCACATGTCGCGAAAAAAGCTATGGATGCGATTCCCATTTTCGAACACGGGATACGGGAATCCACACCATCCTCTGCCATCGGTCCACATGTTCATATAGAGCTCCTTGGGGTCCGAGCCGAGAAATGCAATGGTAATTTTGTCATTGTTGCAGACTACAACGGCTCTACGACTAGCGTTGAAGCCGGTGTAGAGTTCAGAAATACTAAGGGCTGGGTTTTGGTAATGGCCGCGCAATGCGCTGGTTATGTCGTTGATATCTGAGTTGAGAGTTGAGCGCCATAGGATGTCGGCTGCGTCTTTGACATCGTTCCATTGGGATGGACCGCCTTCCAATCTGACTAGTTGCCACATGATTTACCTTGCTGTAGGACAGATGTGGATTGACTGAGTTGTATGCTCTTGATGTGATCAGATGCTCCGGTGGTGGGAAGTCGAGTCTTCAAGATGCCAGTGAGTGAGGCTGAAGGAAAGTGAATACGAGGGAAGGTCTAAACTGAATACATACATGTAAAGAAAACTGAGAATGACGGTTTGTAATAAGATCCAACAATGTATTTCTCCTCTGGCAGGGTAAGCTACTGCTAGCCTTTAGCTTTGTCTGTGTCAGGGTCGTTCGCAGTGACGATACCACGCAGTGGTACGAGATACACCAATGCGTCTTGTTAGATCAGGGTACCTTCTACGTGTATATGAAAGAAAGGCTTGCGTCAGTGTCTATCTGGCTGTATATATGGCTACTCACTGCAGCGATGCTAGAAAGGATGGCGCGAACGGGCGCCTAATGCAACAATGTACGATGCGCGGCAAAATGGGAGTGGTGCACCTGACTTCTCCACGCCAAGCTAGTACGTACTTGGCAATGATCTTTCTGCATGAAGACATTCTCGGATTCCTGGTCTCTAAGCGCGCGGTAATACCCAATTCTGAAACTATGCATTTCTTTTAACTGGAGTTTCGTTCCATAGTTTCAAAATGCTAAAAAAAAGCCAATGAGGAGTTTAACATTCCGCTATAGTGGTTCTTCCGTCATGAAAGGACACACGCCACAGTAGAGAACAATAGATCTATATTAACATTGCGTTCGTCAGTTAAACGGCGTTGGTGGATCGCTATCATGCGGCTGTCTTAAATTTTACACCAAATCTTGTGTTACATCGACTCGACATAGTGTTGTGAGCTATTTTTGGATGTAAGAAGTACAATGGAGCAACTTGTACAGTGTCACATATTTGCACAAGATTTAACTACTCACAAGAACCATCGGCGTGTTTACTTGCATGTTTACAACGTTCTGTTGCTTTCATGGCTATAGAGTGATCCAACTTGAAAAATGTATTTCCTACTCCAACTCTCATAAACAGACAAACTACCTTATGTTTTCTTCTCCTGCAAAGCAATTGTGACCTGCTCTAACTACAAATCATTCATCCTTTGGGGCTGCCTCGGAGTAGCGTTGTAGGGGGTACTCGCTCTCTGGCGCAAACTTCTGGTATTTGAGCTCATTTGGCATGTCTAGTTTTTCTGGTTGATTTCGGCCCACCCATAAGCACATGTGCCTGCCCAGATCCGGAGTGTCGCACAACAGATAACGAAACATGGTAGACTTTTGGAGCTTTGTGATTTGGCTCGCTGCATACCAGAATATGTGAGCCCTCATAGGGTCTTCTCTGACTCTCTCTGTGATTTCCTCACACGCAATCCGGAGCAGTTCACAAACGCTTTCGTCTGAGATACCTGCATTGGTACCTAGTCGCTGGGTAAATCTCCACAAAGTATAGGCCTTGAACTTTGGTGCCATGAGGCGTTCTCCCATGGCGTAGAGGCGTGCCAGTGTCACGTAGTTGGAGTAATGCTCGACCTCGCGGGAAAGAATCGATTGGTTGCAGTAAAGGTATTCGACAAAAAATCCAAAAAGCTCGGGATCTTCTTCCTCCAATTCAATCGCTTTCTTCTCCGCTTCCATAAAATTTCCCGTCAGACTATTGTGGAAATCGTCCGATTCGGCAACGAGAAGGTCGAAATGGAGGTAGAACGTTCTCGACTTGGCAACGGTGACAGTTACAAGGGGCGAGGTGAGAAAACTATGTAAGATAAGCATATGAGCGACATGCAAGGCCATAGTAACAGCATACTGTGAGAACTTGGGCTTCTCAGCCTTGTCTGATGTAACTTTACGCTCCTGTTTTGCCATGACGTACGTTGTATCTATGCAGCAGTAGCAAAGAAGGGATCGGGGAGCTGTTCAATGTTCACCTATTAGGATTTGAGATATAAATCAAAAAAGATACTGACCATGTTATTCTCAAGGAAGGGAGCTGTATTTATGTATTCCCGCAAGGCTGATCGCAAGCGCTTGCAATCCTACAGAGGATGTTACACAACGGCGCTAAGTAATTGGATAGTGGTGTCGCAGGCAAAACTGCGCCACATTGATATCTATGTAACTCGGCATTAAGACGTCTGTTATATTCCACTTTAGTAAAGAAAAGTCCTTTGCTACCACGCCACACAACCACATACACACCCTACTCACCCTCCTTTCCCGCTTCCTCCCCCCAAACCCCCTCCAAAATCCTCAAAAACTCCTCCGCCATCTTCCTCCCCCCCTCCGCACTCGGCTCAACCCTCTCCACATAATCCACCGCATCCTTCCCATCCAACACCTCAAACAGCTTACACGGCCGCACCTCGACCCCCTCCACCTTAATCTCCTCCGTCGCACTCCTATACATCTCCCTAATCGCCGCCTGCAACTGCCCAGGATCCTTCTCATACCCCAGCAGCTTCAGCTTCCCATCCGCCCAGCCACTCTGCCCCCTGCCACTCTCTAGCGGAAAATAAATCATACAGACGACAACAGCACGGGGTTTGGTCTCGGCCGTGAGGCGGGAGATGTAAGTCTGGATTTTTGTACCGAACATGTTGCGGAAGTAAGGCAGGCCCCATGCGGAACCGTCCTCGATGGATTTGCGCGGGGTAAGCCACGCGAGTTGGAACATGTGCGCGCTGGTTTCAACGGTGGGGCTGAACGCAATGTCGTTGCAGCCGACGCTGACGACGAGGATGTCGTTGGCGCGGATGTTGGAGCGGATGAAGGCGTCGTGCGGGAGGAGATCGGTGTCGCGCTCGCGAAGGAGAGATTCTTCGATGGCCGTGTTGATGCATGTTGCGCGGGTGGAGAGTGCGTGGTTGAGCCAGTATGCTACGTCTGGGATGAGGGTCATGGGGGAGGCGAGAGTTGAGTGGTAGATGGAGGGGATTTGAGAGGGGTCAGCATCTTTGAGGGGTTCTTTGATCCAGAATTTGTTGTCGAGGGAGGAGTCGCCGGCGAGGTAGATGATGGGTTTGTCAGGGCGCTCGGTGAGCGTGATGGCGCGGAATTTGGCCAAGTCGCTGATGGGGTGGCCTTTGTATTCGCTGTAGAACTTCTCAGAGTCGATTTTGGAGGTCTCCTCGGTTTCTGAAGCCATGGTTGGGGCAATGTCAGTTGGAGTTGCTGTGAGGTATGGAAAACAAGTTAGGGAACATGTCCTGTCAATGGTCGCACATGTTTTATTATCACTTCTACGTAAAACGACGGATACGACTAGTGTGGCTGAAACCAGCCACACACATACGTTAGCGTACAGCATTAAACCTAGAACCTCTTGATTCCTCAGGTAAAAATACCTCATGTAGCCTTGCCCGCAACCACTACCGGAGATGTACGGGTATGCACGGACCTCGCTCTACCAATGACATACGTAACCTCGACTAGTCGCAGAAGCATCGTATAAGGCAACGTAATCATGAACGCAGGTACTTAAACTCAAAGAGAGACGCTACCACCCATCTCAATAGTCACAAAGGTCCTACAAAAAGGCTTAGACCGATCCAGGTGTTCTAGACAAATCACGTGCGCATCACTTTCACTATGAACAAGAACCACAAAATCAGCAGCACCAACAGTTCTTTAGATATGCAAATCTAATTCCAAGCCCAGTCTAACAACTCCATCTATGACAAAAAAATCATACGAAAAAAACATCTAATCACAAGAACCCAACTCTCCCCCTTCTGAATTCCCATGAAAAAAAGCCCTACCTACCCCTCTTCAACTTCTCCACCTCCTGCACACCCACCTCAAATGCCCGCTCCAACTTCTCCACCCGCTCCTTGGTCTCTTGGAACTCGGCATCTGCATTCTGCATCAGCGCCACGAACTCGCGCACAAGCTGCGAAGGGCCGTCGACTTGCAAGGGAGAAGTGCGGAACAGGGTGCGTTGGACATGGTACAAGAGGGGCCAGTCGCGTTTCTCGTACAGGCGGATGTTGACGGGGATAGGGGACTCGGGATTCGAGGTAGGTAGGTCATTGACAAAGGCTGGGTCGGAGAAGGTAGTGTGGGAACGGTGGTGGGCTGGACAGTCCTGCTCAGTCTCCTCGTTTGTGGCGTGGAGAAGCTGGACAGCGGCTTGAAGTTGAGATTCGAGAACTTCATTGCGAGCCTCGAGGTCGAGGTTTGCGTTGTGCAGCAATAGTATCTGTTCTGAGAGCTCGTCTAGTTCGACCATTGTGTCGCAGTGCTCGTGCGACAGCTTGGCGAATGCGCTGATTATCTTCTCGTTTTCAGCTTCTGCGTCGTGGAGAGTCTGCCTGAGATGATCAGTTTCTGAGGTTTCTTCCAAAGGCTGGATAGGCGTGAGTGACGCACCGGGTGAGATATCGGAGATATCAGAATGGGAAGATGTGGGGGACTCCAAGCTCCGCTGCTCGTTGGCAATGGCAATCTCGTTTTCGAGTTTCTCGACCTTGCCTTTACAACACTCTAGCTCATCAAAGAGTTCCTCGATCTGTTGTGTGTCAAAGTAGTGCTGCTCCGTAAGTTCTTCATTAGCACTCTCAAGATGGTGCAGCTCCTCGACCTCAGCTTCCGTAGTTCGCAGGAGGGTCATGGCATCATCGATTCGCTGCTGGGCGTCCTCGTAAATCCTCTCGCAATCGTAGTGATTGGTTAGCGATTGCAACCGAGCATTTTCTTCCTCCAAATGCTTGATGCGGCTTTGTAGATTGGCGGCACTAACTTGGACAGCACCTTTGGGCTTCCTATTAGTAGATGGTACCTGTCCCATCCACTTCTTCCTCTCATTTTCGAGTTCAGACTTAACCTCCCGCACCTCCTTATCAGTCTTTTCCTTCATCTCCTTCATCTCCTTCTTCAATCCAATAACTGTGCGCCGTTCTTTCGCCAGTTTTTCCTCGCTTTGCGTCCGCCTAGTTTTTTCCTTCTCATATTTTTCAGACCAAGCAGAAATATCGCGGAACAAATCATCACACTTCTTGCTAGCCTGAGCTTTAGCACGTGTCAAAGATTGCAACTGCCTTTTCAGAAAGTCTATCTCGACAGTCTCTGCAGAAGTGATCGGGTTATCGTGACGACGTGTCGCGCTATCTCGAGAGTCTGCCAGTGATACATCGGTAGATGCGGGACTCTGGGTAGTGTATCGGTTCATGGTGATGATATCTCTGGTGGCTGTATATGAATGCAGTGTCTGATTGATAAGTCGTAAAAGTACTGGTTATTTGGAAGAAAGAGGCGTTTTAACATAAACCCGCGTTGCACATTGTTCAAACACTCATCATCGTGAACATGGCCTCGTTTTATATCTTTTTTTCCTTCACGATCTATATTCAGCGTGTCGCAGCCTCATAATGTCTTACACACAATGCTTGTCTTGAACTTGAGGCCGAGGCAAGTGCGGCGAGTACAATACACTGCTGCGCTAAACCTAACATATTGACAAACTGGTTTCACTACATCTACAATGCGGACCTACGACATGTGCATGTGCTTTCTATCACGTGTGTAACTGTGCATGATGATTTTAGCAACGTTGGAAACAATGAAAGCAATTTTGCTACCTTGCATTCGCAAATACGAGCGATTCATTTGAGCAAGAATAGCACAGTCAACCCATAGTGGAGATTGCTGTTTGGCAGTAAATTCATATATCATTTGATGCAGGAGCAGTAATATAGCCGCAGCCTGTTTCGATATCGTAAATCATCACGTGCTCTGAATTATAAATTGGCTCAAACTACGCATCTCAAAAATGGCTGAAAAGGAGTGACTTGTTCACCAAGAAAACATCTCTAAGCAGCGCGCTCGATAGTAGTAGTTCCAGTCTTGCCGTGGTCCACGACTGTGCTGTCATGAGCCTGGTTAACCGTTTTCTCGGTTGCCCTGGTGGCCTCATCGGCAAGATCGTCTTCGAACACTGGGAGACAACAGTTAGTGAATGATATTTGTGAGAGATGATGGAGATCAACTTACAGAATGCCAATTCTTCGAGCGTACGGTTGTACGTCTCGGGGTACATGAAGTAGATGAACGAGAATTCGAACGAGATCCATGCGCAATAGATGGCAAAGTACTTCCACTCGATGGCTGTAAGGGCGATGGGGTTGACGTAGATGGAGAAGAATCCAGCCAGCTTTCCGAAAATCTGTTCGATACCGATACCCATGGTACGTTGGGCATAGGGAAACAGCTCAACAAGGTAGGTGTATGTGAGTGAGTTGTTTCCGATGTTGTAACAGGGAGAGTAGGCAAAGTAGAAGAACAGAGATGCGATTTGGGCCGGTGAGTTGGTGGTTCCGGCCTTGTCGGCTTGCTGAAGCGAGTGCAGAGTAATGGTAATGGCCATGAAGACCATGACCATGGATCCAGCGGAAAGCATAAACATCTTACGACGGGGGAATCGGGTGACGACAAGAGCGATGATGACAGCGTTCAACAAACTCCAGCACTGGTTGGCCATGTTGATGCGCGTCTTTGTACTGTTATCGGTGAAACCCATCAGGTTGAAGAGCAGCTTCTGGTAGTAAGAGAGCAGAGTGTTGCCGCTCATCTGGGTGAACAGACCCAAGAAGACGGAGATGATGACACGGCGGCGCATACCAGGGGTTCGGACCATGTCCATCCAGGATTGCTTGGAGTTCTCCATCTCGAGCTTGATGGTGGATCGAATCTGGGCCATTTCAGCTTGGACGAGGAGCGAGTTGGCGTCGTCTTCAGCGTGGTATTTGACCAAAATGGCATAAGCCTCGTCGTCACGGTCACGGGAAATCAGATAACGTGGGCTCTCAGGGAGCAGCCTTGTCATGTCAGCGAGTGTCGTTTTGGAATGGAGTAGCATCTTACCAAACGGTGCAAATCTGCAGAACCGAAGGGCAGATCTGCAGAAGCGAAGGAAGTCGCCAGCCCCAGTTTCCACCAATGGTGGTTGTCTTGATTGAGATAGCAGCAGCCGTGATGGAACCAATAAAGTACGAGGCATTGAAGAGAGAGGTCATGAATGGCCGTTCCTTGGGGTGGGCAAGCTCTCCGATCAAGGCCGATCCAGCAATGATGGCGAAGAGAATTCCGAATCCGAGCAGCATACGTGCAATGATGTACATACCGACTGGTGATTGTGAGAATTACGATTTGAAGTTAGACATGGAGGGAAACTTACCATGCTGGGCAAATCCTTGCAGGATAGCGCCAACAACCATGATGAGGGAACCAACGAAGATGGCCATACGCCTACCATAACGCTGGTTCAGCCATGGGGCGACAGGAACTGCGAGAATGGAACCGAGCTGGTAGCATGCCGACATGAAACCGATGATCTTGGGGTTGATGGAGTGCTCTCCATCCTTGTCGAGGTAGCCGTCTCCGAAGTCTAAGTTTGTGAGTACAAGGGGCCAGGAGGACAAAGCACATGGAGAACGTACACTTGTTGAAGGGTACCGAGAATTGGAGGGTGCCAATGAGTTGAGAGTCGAAACCAGAAGTAATCTCAACGCCCATGCAGCAGCAGAAGAGCCAGACATACATGAGTCGGAGGTTTCGTTTTTTCCACCATCGGACCTTGTCCTGCTCGAGCATGCGGGTGATGATGGGCTCGGCAGCCGTGCCCTCTGCGAGTTTCTGAACGCCCACCATGATGACGATGGTTCTGAGAGCAACGAAGTGAGGGATGGGTACCAGAAAGGGAGCACAGTGGGGGTTGACATGCTTTATACAGGCTGCCGCTGCAAAGACGACCCACTACCCCGGCTCGTTACCCCAGATGGTCCGGGGCAAGGGTATGCTAAGACGGAGACGGTGACCGTCTTACCGAAGCGCCACCTTGTATTGGAGAAGCGTGTCGGCGGAATGGGCTTGCATAGCTTGGCACCGGTTAAATTGGGCGCCGCGGGCCAATGGCCGGCCGCTGCTCGACCGAACGCTGGTGAAAGAAGGCCGAACTGTCGCCTCTTTCGTACACAACCACTACCTCAACCGTGTGTTTAACCCGTCCATTGTCAGTCTTGTCGGTCATCCAGCTCGTCGGTGGTTGCACTGTCGAGTTGCAGTGGCGTCCCTTGCCGCGTCCCTCCTTGGCGCGCCTGGCTTCCCGCCCGCTTGGTGTGTGTACCGGAATTGCACATATTGCTGTCGAGTTTGCTAATATCTAGCTACTATACCATGCAAAATCGGACTTTTGCTTCATATTGCTGTGGCCATGGCGGGCCCCCACACTGCACGTGGCTTGGTACTGGTTTGGTACAAAGAGCTTGGAATAAACAATAGGACAAGCGAGGCCAAGCCAGGGAGATGAAAATCTGACGGCGCCTGACATCTGGTGCGGCTCGTATACGGCAAAGCCGATAAAGCGGATGCTAGAGCAGTGGGCGTCTGCATTGTATGTGCGACAAGTGCACTCCTTCGTCTCAATCTCTCCCGACCCAAACCAAGCCCGTGGCTCAATGAATGCACCCGTGCCACCATCGGCACCTGGAGAGGGCAGTCGTGCCATTTGCTCCGACTGCGCAAGCGAAGGGATTAATGTGGATCACCATGCCCACCACCCCTGCAGGTCAATTAAGGCCAAAGTTGGCACGTTGGTCGCCTTATTAAATCATAGCCGTTGTGTGGAATCCTACAAGAGGTCTGAGACGTTGGCCAAGTAATACAAAAAGAACCTGGGTCGCAAACTGGTTTGGGGGTGTGGGAGACCCGGCCACATTCCCTCCGGAGTGCGGACAGCGGTAACCCGGAGGATCATCACGTGGCCAACACGAGGCTGACAACAAGCGCATCCAAATTCTGGGCATGATGCCACAATTGTGCGCTACTATTACTCGCTTTTTTTTCGCACCACCAGCCATTACTACAAGCAGTAGTCGACGTCGTGTCAGGCAATGACTAACAATTACCGCGGTGGCGTAACACTTTCCGGCTCGGCTGGCAATATCACCATTACCACGACTCATGTCAGCAAAAGAAGTATTTGAAAAAATAGTGTCATTAAGCGTATACGGCTACAGGAATCCACAACATGCCAACAAGACTTCGTAAAAACATATCTTACACGCCAAGTACAAACGCCAAGTCCCGCATTCCCTAGAGACGGGACGAGAACAAGTCAAAGAGATAGTTTGGGGTATCATTTCCTGGGTGGCTACAAACTAGCCGTGGGTATAGGTCGAAGTGTAACAATACTAAGTCGTTGCTTACTTAGACGTTGGTCATAGGAGGGGCAGGGTCACTGCTTGCTGAGCCACGGATATGTAGTGCAGCAAGGATAGTGGTAGCGACAAATGTCAACCTAAGTCCTGTCAGAACGCTGTCACAACACACGAAGACATTTCAACTTCAACATACCAGAGGAATGCTCCGAAAATAATAGCAGCAACACCGCAGCTCCAGAACGTGCCATGGCCAACCCACCACTCACCGCCCCAGCGCGTAGCCACAGCGACGAAAGCGGCAAACCAGAAGATCATGGTGACGAACTCGACACCTGCGACAGCATACTTGTGCGCAGCTGCAGGGAAGCGGGTCGGCGCAAGGATCAGATAGGCGACAACGAGAAGGGTCCAGATGGAGGTGAAGAGCATAAACGCAACGCTTCCTGGTACCCAGGTGATGTATGCATCAACAACTAAGAAACACGATCAGCACAAGCTCTCAGAAACACTTGAGCCGATTTTTTTTTACTTACGATATGCGCTCAAACCAAGCACGATGATGCTGAACAGCACCTGGACGCCGCGAATGCCCATAAGGATAGCCGGAGCAACCATGTTGGCGATTTATCGAATAGTAGGTATCGGGGTAGAGTGATTGAGGGATCGAGCTTTCAGGGGAAAGCTATAGATGGTGTTGGGAGATATCTACTACGGTGAGGGAGATTGGCAGAAGGGATGCGAACGCAAGAGCAGCTCTTCCCTGTGCTTTTATGCCTCTGAACCGCCAGGCGCAGCGATGATGGGTGCCATGACCAGGGTGCGCTTGGTTTCAGGAAACCGACGTCACTCAAGGGTGGCGCATGACGACAAAGCCACAAACCACGCGTCTGATTGGCTGTTTGTGCCGAGCGATGCGACGTGGTCCACAACTTCGAGCTGCTTCTCGCTCTGCTATGGCGGCCTTGCTTGCCCCTCAACACCCCGTTTTTGATTCCCCCCCTCCCCCTCAATC